GGAGCCCCGGCCCCGGCTGATGCATCCCCACGCCGGGGTGGGCATGGCGGGGCACCCCGGCCTGTCCCAGCACATGCAGGACGGAGCCGGGGGCGCCGAGGGCGAGGGCGGCAGGAAGCAGGACATTGGGGACATTTTACAGCAGATCATGACCATCACGGACCAGAGTTTGGACGAGGCGCAAGCCAGGTGAGGCGGGGCGAGGGGGCGAAATCTCCTCTCCCTTCTCGCCTGGGTTTCTTCATTGTGCTGGGGAGAGCAGCCAGGCCCGCAGGAAAAAAATGTGGCTCGCAAGTGCCCAGAGGTGTATCGATTGGGGGAGCCGCTCGGGTTACATTGTATCCGTCTGCCGCGCGGTATCGGAACGGCCTTCCCCCTCCATGGCGTCTGGGGTGGAACAAGGCGAGGGGGGGATTAAGTTTTGCACAGCCTCCCGGGGGGGGATCCCAGGGCAGGAGGCGAAACCCCTGAACTCGAGCTGATTGCTGAACTATTTGATTCCCCTTCCATCCCCATTCCTTTCGTCCCACCCTTCTTGCCCAGGGCTTGGGGCGGTTCGGATTTTTTTGTTTTTAAAAATCGGCTCCTTTTGTGTGTGTGAGAGCAAACAAGTCACTTTCTTTGTCGCCTGCCACAAGTCTTTTTTTGGTGTTGTTGGAGGGGAAAAAAGCTTTCCCTGGGCTTTTACAAAGTGGGCCTTTTCCCGATGCCTGGGGAGAGGGCGTTTGGAGATTGGCTTTTATTCACTGGAAAAGTGGCATTCCAATTCCCTCTTGGGGCCATGGGATTTAGAAAACAAGCAAACACACCAGCCCAAAAAATTGAACTTGGTGCCGTTTCCTGGGGTTGCTTGTCTAATCCAGCGAGATGTACCAAAAGCTCTGCTTTTTCCTCTCCCCCTCCCTGACCTCCTACCCCTGTGACACTACTGAGTGTTATTGGAACCAGGTGTGGACTATGTCCATTTTTGAAATCGGGTTTGGGATGGCCCTTGAGGAAACAGCCTTATAAAAATGGTATGTTCCAGACTTAGTCCAGAAGCAGGCATCTGAGTCTTCTCTAGCATTTGCCTTGTAGTATTTCATTTTACAGCAGTTTGAAATCCACGGTAGCCTGCTTTGAATGCCATAAAAAATGCACCAAGCGGACACATGTTAAACTGTGCTTTTTGCTCAGGCTGTACTTTATGGAGGGGGCAGGCGCACACAGATATTTTAATGATGGGACAGTCAAAAAGAAAAGCAGTAAAAATCTGCAAAGTCGAATGCGTGCCACTTCATCGCATGCAAGCTCCAGACACGGCTGTGAGGAGCAAAACTTACCAACAAACAAAACCCATGAAGGCCTGGAGTTTTTGCCTTTTTGAATCTGAAGTTGGCAGAAATTGCCTGGGGTATGCTAGAATGTTGTTATCTGAAGAAAAGCTTTTAGATGTGAAGTTGTTTTCACTGGACCTATGCTCCAAGTTGGAAGAGACTTCTAGAGTACTTTGTCCCAGGGAGAAAACACCCCCCAATAATCTAGCTTAGTGTCGTCTAACAGGGCATGGGGCCGTGGTTCTATTTGATCGCTCTGTCTTCTGAGTCTTAAAACCCCGATATCCTACACGAATTTGTGAGGAAGCACCGCTTGCTAGCTTGGAGGATGAAAGTATTTCCCACTTCAGCCCCAGACAGAGCTGGGGAGGGGGGGTGGGAAATCTTTCTCCCAAAAGTGACCGGACTAGTGTGTGGCCGCATGTGCAATTTCCACTCAATCAGATTAAAACCAAACCGAACTTGGAGACTACGTGATAGTCTGGGCTGCCACGGCGACTTCCTTACTGGACTTTCTCTTTGGCCGTGACACTTACTGCGTGGGGGTTTTTTTTTCCCCCTCTTCCCCCCCAGCAAGGCATGGATTTCAAATCCTGCTTTTGCATCCTGTATTAGTTTTTTTTAGGCAGGTCCTTTTGAAGAGGAAAATTGCGAATAGTGCTTGCGTGTGTGACGTATATAAACAAGGCATACGTACAAGCGGCTGTGGTCCTTTGCGTTGGGCTAATGGAACATTGTGGCTTGTTTGGGTTATGTCTTTGAGAGGCTTCGTTTACCCGTCTTTTACCATCAGGGCGGGTTTAGGGTGGTGGGGAAAATACCACTGAATGTTTGCTGGCTGTTCCCACCACTTTCATGTATTATTTTGGTGGGTAAACTGCATTCCCATAGCTGATGGCCTGTCGGCACAACCCTGTATATGGCTGAACCCTTTGCAAAGTGATTATCTGGCTTAAAAAGTACATTGTTTCTTTGTTTAAATGGGCACCTGATGGGTTTTAAAACCAGCCAGCTTTTTTTTTTTAAACACGCAACTCTCCTGCCTTCCTCAAAAACAATAACCAATCTCTGCTGCCCAAACAGAAAATAATAATAAAAAATAATGCACCAAGCAGAGGGTTGTGTTTAAAAAAACAAAACAAAATAAAACCAGTCTAGTGGCCTAATTGTCAATAATTGGCTTGTAACATCAGCTAGCCGGCAGTGCGTACACAAGAAGCGGAATGTAAACATGGGGGGGAATGAATTTCTGTCCCCAGATGTGTGTGTTTGCCCTTGGCAGTGCATTTTGCATCCTCCTTAAGGTAGGTCCTGAAATGCCAGACATAGACAGCTCCAGTCGGTGCCCCTTTCAAATATGGAGGGGCATCCGGAGGATGGATTGGAACACATGGGTCTATTAAATAGATAGGAGGGCAATGCGGGTCGGGGAGGAAGCCCGGTTTCAGGGCTGTGCGTTTCACTACAATTGTCTTCCACATGTTCCCGGCTGTGGCTGTTAATTGCCTGACTAGGGCTGGGAGATGGTGAATGCCACTTAGCAGCAAATGCCATTTTCAAGTAATTTCTAAATTGGCCTAATTTATGGCATCTGCGTTAGTGGGTAGCCCCTCTCACGGCCGGTCTTTCATCCGTAGGTCCCAGAAGTGATTGCACGCTGGCTTCCGGTGCAGTTTTGGCCCACACGTTCATTACATTATCGATACAATTGTGTGTCTCCCCCCCCGCCCCCCTTTCGCACAGACTAGCCAATTTCAGTTTGGAAAGTTGTTTTGAGCTGTCCTGGCGTCCTAACCTTTTTGCTCTCTTGCAGGAAACATGCTCTCAACTGCCACCGAATGAAGCCGGCGCTTTTCAACGTCTTGTGTGAAATCAAGGAAAAAACAGGTAGGAACGGGGATGTTCTCATGGCTCATGCGTTTTATGCCGATGGTTGTTTTCCCCACTTTCGGGGGATTTCCCGCTCCTCGGATGGTCTTATTTTGTAGTTTTTGTTTGACATGGAAACAATGGAATAGTTTCCCCTTCTGGTACGAACGGTGCATAAGAAGGGGGCTGTCGAAAAGGAGAAACCGTGACCTCCTTTTTACCCAGGCAGCATTTTTGTGTTGTTGTTGCCACATGCAGCTTTGAAGAGCTATCTTTAAAAAATTGCACTGCTCTGAAAACTACTTGGGGAAATAGAATTTTTTTTTTAAGAAGAGGTTTTCAGGTCCCCACTTAAATGAGGAAAACAAGATGACAAATACACGTCTCAAGTATTTAAAATAAAATGAATACAAAGTGCAAATCGCTGTGTATTTGCCCGTCGCTGGGGCCGGCTAATCCGGGGGGCGGGGAGTTGTCAAATACCTTTAGTGGAGGCCTGTCTATTAGATTGTTGATTACTTTAGGGTCCTCTTGTTTGATGGCAGGGGATGTTTCCCTCTTGGGGGGAATGACACCACAGCGTACCTTTTGCTGGTTCCCACTTTTCCAGACCTCCTACCATGTATTAACACACTTATAACACGTCCCAGGAGGGCATTTAAATTTTAAAAGCAACAATTAAAAAATAGCAGTCATCAATCAAGGGTGATCTTAAAAAACAGATGCTCCGGGAAGGACAGTTCGCAAGACCCGCCGCCCTGTCTGTCTTTTCTTTTTTTGCCATTTTTTGTGGTTTTATTTCCCTCTCTCAGAACGGGGAAAATCCTTGAGTCTGCCTCCCAGAAAAACGCACTGCATGTTGTCAGCTGGCGGGTTTCAGTTCTGATCCAAAGGCTTGGTTGTTTTTTTTTTTTAGCCTGCTGCAAACTACTTGCCTGCCCCCGCTCCTCTTTTACCGGCAGGACTGTAACAGTCAATAATTCATATCTAAACTATATAAGCAAGGGCATGACATGAATGAAAGTGACAATAAATATGATTGCCCGCCCAGTTGATATACATTGATAGTTACACATGGTGGGGGAGAGCCGCTTTCGGAAACCCGGATCTGTGTCGAAGAAAAATTCTCTATAAAAAGCCGCATCGCGTTAGCAGCTGATTGAAAATGTGGTTACTTGACTCTTGTAATATATATAATATGACTAAGGAGGCCCTTTGTTAAATGTTCCTTGAGCGGCTTGTAACCTAGTCAAAGCTCTTTGCAGTGGTATTCAACTCTCTGAAGTCCTTCGGGCTGCGTTGCCAGTGACTGACCTTATTGGGAAGCTGTTCGTTATGTATTTCCTACAATATAACTGTGTGTGTGTGTGTGTGTGTGTGTGTGTGTGTGTGTGTGTGTGTGTGTGTGTGTGTGTGTGTGGATATATATATATAAAAAATGTATGTAATGAACCCTGTGTATATAAATACTAGAGATTTATATCCCGCTTGAAAATCCCGCAAGCGCCTTTTCTTCCTCTCCGTTCTTTTTCTGTTTGCTAAGAAAAAAGACCTGTCTTTCTTCCTTTTTCTTCCCGCTGTTTGTTCCGATGAGAATGTTGTCTCTGAATTATCGGTTGTGGGTCCAGTCTGACAGTCTGCCCAGGTTTGAAACCATGAACTTGTAGCTGGTGGTTCTTTTTGGATTAGAGCAACTGGAAATACAGCGGGGGAAAAACAACTCCCCCACCCCCATCCGCTCAAATATTCGGAGAAGCCGTCGGGCTATGGGGAATCCGTGTGAGGTGGGGACACTCGTGTGTCCATAACGACTGTGTTAATTCCCATCCCCTAATTAAAATCTAGAGAGATGTTGGGCATAGTGTGGCGGTGCGAACAAAGAGCAGGTGTGGATTGGTACGATCTCTTTTTAATCATTCTGGTGGATTTTTAAACCGGAGGCTGCTGTGTTAAACAGCATAACCCCGTCAATGAGGTAAATTAGGATGGCATTTGGAATGAATTTTTGATCCACTCCACTGTATATACAGATATATGGAGAATAATGTGTTTTATAAATGGGACAGGGGTGAAAAGAAAAATCCATCCCGCTTGAAACCAAGTTGCGATGCAGGTGGTCTTTTTATTCTTATTTTGTTTGAACCAAGTGATAGATAGCTGCGAAGCCGTGGCCTTCGTAGATGAGACAGGAACACTCCAGCCGAGTACAATCCCGGGGCAGGTGTGCGAAGGTGAAAGGCGGGCTAAGTCGCATTTCCTCTCCCAGTCCGTGAGTTTCTGAACGGGAGTCAGTGGGGTGGAATCCGTTGTCGGATAATATCCCGGCTAGTCGAGTGGCTTGCAGTTTTGGGGTGTGTGTGTGTGTGTTTGTGTGCGCACCCCTCTCATCCCATCCCAAGTGTGACACTGTGTGGAACCAAGGCTTGATTTAAGTGCCTCCAGAGAGTGGTAGAGATTTCACCATTGCCTCCTGCTGCATTATGGCTAATATTTCACAGTGGTAATGTCAGAGCAAACCCAAAGTGTCCATGAAGTTGTGAGAGGTTGTTTTTACAGGCCGACGAGCCCCCTTTAACAAGCAGCCTCTTCAGTTATTTTAAAGGGTTTATAGACAGCCTTTTTTTTTTTTTTAAAGCTTGTTTGCTCGCATCTGTTGGTTTCTTTTGTCGATCTTTTGGACGTTCCCTATTTCTGGAAGGTGCCTTTTAAAAAGTAATAAGAGGAGAGGTTTGATATGAGGGGAATGCAGGAAAAATTGTTGCTGAAACTTACACGTGATTAGTCTCTGCTAATTCGCTGCTGTTGTGTTTTTTTTTTTTTTTTAATCACTTGTTTTTGGTTACATAGTTGGGTGCTAGTGGGTAGGACTAGCTTCAGATGGCTAACTGGCATTTTTTTGAATAAATAATATTAGAAATGGAAGCCATCCTTGTCTCTCATGCAATTGATTTCCCAGTCAATAGACATTTAAATAAAAAAAAATTGCACAGGCAATTATGAAAAGTTTGCAAAGGGGTGGGGGTTCGTGTGTGTGTGTGTGTGTGTGTGTGTGTGTGTGTGTGTGTGTGTGTTTCAAGATGATTCTCTGCCTGAGCAGAATTGCTAAGTGGAGGAACCAGGCAAGGCAAATGCAGACGTGCGGTCCTTGGATAGCAAACTGGAAAATATCTGCTGTCAAAATGCAGCAGCGTCTATTTCAGCTGTGAGCCTTTTCCAACTCGCCTCTCGCTCGATGGGGAATGGAGACAAGAGCGAGGGGGAATGCCGGATCTCGGCCCACTGAATCTGTTTCCTCCTCCTTAAACAGGGGAAGGGAGCCTCGCTCTTTCGCGTCTTTCGTGGAAGTGGCAATGCAAAACACCTGCTTCAAAAGACCCCAATGTTCGTGGTCGTTTTTTTTTTTTTTTTTTTTAATTCTTCATTATTTTTTTCCCTTCTGTGTGTCAAAGTCATCCAGGTACAAAAGGAACATGAACGCACCCCCAGCGGGTTAGACTGATGAAGTGGCATATTTAGAGACAGCGATGATTAGCTGTGCGGATGGTGTTGGGGGTTCTGGCTGCTTTGGGGATTTTTGTTTTGTTTTTTGTATGTGGTGGGTTTTTTTTTTTAAATGTTAAGAACGTAGCAGCTCCATAAAGCGCCGCCCCCCCCCATATTATCTTCCCCAAAGTTAACTCAGATCAGCTCTTTGGAGGAGGTCGGTTTATTTATTTATTTATTTTGCTTCCTTACCGCCTCTTTGTTCTTTCTCACGCTCTGCCTTTCTCCGCGTTCAATTAACACCCCCATCGCCGAACGGTAACCTTTTTTTTTTTTTTTAATGCCTGCTACTGTATTTCACTTCTGACACCTCCCTTATTATTCTTGCCTGCCGTTTCTTTCTAATATAGCAATTACGTGATGGGGTTTCGTTTCTTTTCTCCCCCTCCCCTTTTTCATTTCTTTCTTGAAAGCTGGAGGAGGAGAGGAAAAAAAAAAAAAACAGGAGGGCCGGGCGTGTGGCGTAGGCAAGTGAATATTTCCTGGGCTTGCATCCTGCACACTTGTGTGTGTGTGTGTGTGTGTGTGTGTGTAACAGGGTTCAGGAACAAAATTCCACAAAGGATATGTATAATATTTGTGGGTTTTTTCAGCTCTGTGTCTCGACCTTTATGCATCACTTTTAAAAACTCTGCCCTCAGTTTCTCTTCTGCGGAGGAGCATTGAACACCCAGATTAGCTTTTCGGCAGGACTTAAGACTCTGATTTGGGGGCGTTCCCGAAGCAGAATCAGACCCTAAATCCTTCACTCTCCTCCGGGAATCCCAGCTATGGTTCCAGCCTCCCTCCGTTCCGTTCCCACACAAAGCGGAGTTTCAAATTGTGCTACTTTTATTTCATTTTTTAAAAAAAATGCTCTTCAAAAGCTGCCCTGTGCAGCCGCGCACTGTTCTCCAGGCGACCTTGTGTCGGAGCTGCGGTCGGCATGTGTTGCGAGGCGGGTTTAAGGTTACACCTCCGATGGGGGGAGGGGGAGGGAAAAGTGGGGGAGCTCTCGACTTCTCTGCCCTGGCAAAGGCAGCTTGTTGCAGGCTTCTGAAGGCTGCCAGATGCTGGCCATGAAAGCCTTTGCAGGGCTCTTGATTCAATTAGTTCCAGGAACATTGCATCTTTTGAGGGAAAGGAAGGAAAAAATTGGAAGGAAGGCCTGAAGAGCTGCGCATTTGGGGGGTGGATTTGACTGAATTGGAGACCACGCATATCCTGGGAGGGGAAAAGTTGGGGCGCCACTGGGGGAGGGTGGGGATGAGGATGGGGCCTAAGGAAGCTGGACGTTCGGTGTCTATTTGATGGCGCCTGCCCGGCGGGATGGCAAATACAGGCCCTTTCTACGCTGCTGAACAGTCGGAGAGCTTCGGTTTGAACGGTCCTCGCGCGCCGGCCGGGAGGAAGGGTCGCCGGACGGTTAGAGCAAAGCAGGGGAAATTAGCGTAATGGAGATTGGCGGGACCTGCGATTGACTCGGCCAGGCAATG